TCTCGTAGACCTGTTTGTCATTTTCCGCTTCAAATTCCTTAAATATTTTTTCCATCTCAGCCTAGAATGATATTAAACCATTTACAACGTAATGTTTACCACTACCCTTTGCCAAAACATAGAAATAATTTTGTAATGTGTGAAGACTTTTCCGGTGACATATTGCCACAGTGTATCGACATTGAATATTAAGACATATTGTGTATAGGCTTGATTTAAATGGTTGATTTTTAGGCCGAGTTTAGTGCAGTTTGTTTGTACCCTACTAATGTTATCTACACTGGCACACAAATGTATCATGCTGGAAGGCGATCACCCTAGACAGTCAAATATATCCAACCAACCAATTATTGTTAATATTATTCATTATACTGTCATTTAAGGTAGTGCAGAATAATGACCTTTCACGCACCATGTTATACCATGTACTTATTTGGTTATGCATCATGTACAATCTTGTACTTATTGGGACACATGCCATGTTCAATCATGTACTTATTGGATCACACACCATGCACAATTTTGTACCTTGGGTCACACACCATGTTTAATCATGTACTTATTGGATCACACATTTAGCATAAGCATGTACTTATTCGAATATATTAGGTCACACACCTTTCACAGTCAGGTGCTTTTTGGGTTACAATCTTATACTCCATGCTATATGCATTCATTTGGAACATTATAATTACTCTTTTACTGAATATTGATAATTATACAGCAATGCTGGGTACATGTATGCTGCACTAAACTTACGCTTTTGTATGAACATATTTGGCCTCACTCACATAACAAGTAAATTGCAGTAGTATTGTCACAAATATTCTGGGCATTATTTTTTGAAGTACGAGGGTTGTTCAAAAAGTAATAGGACTGCAGCTCTACTGTTCACATTTTTAAATTTACGTACAAAATTTAACATGAGACAAATATCGGAACATGATCTCTATATACAGTGAAAAAATCAAAACAAAATGTAAACAAATGAAATTTCTGTGAAATTTTCAAATGACAAGGGGTACGAAACGCGGCGCACGCTAACAATACAATAATTGACGTTCATGACGTCGTAAAATAAATCGAAATTGTAATAAGCGTAATTCTTTCTGAAAGTAGTCTCCCTAGTCTCTAGGTGTATGAGTAATGTAACTTTTACTTTGCCTCATATGTGGAGATGAAGCAAGAAAAAAAGCGATCACATTCTCGTTCCACTGTTTAAAAAAAACAACAACAAATAAATGCCCGAAAGCCGGCCATTCTCCGGGTTTTCTCGTGTTTTTTGAGTAACCTTGGAAATCAAAAGGACTGAAAATGTTAAAGCAAAAGCAATTTATTTTATTAATTTACTCATGTCATTGTGTTTAAAACAATATGATTATATACAGAACAATAAAGATATTTCTCAATTGAAAAGTATCCTTTTCTACTTAGCACAGTCTATCGTTTATTAAAACAAGTTTTCGGGAAACACTTCTAATTATTACCGTTAACTATTACATTAATTTATTGATTACACGTATATCTAGTTAAATACAATAAAATAGTGTTTATAACAAATGTCTTATTTACAATCCTTTGGTTAAAACTGAATAAGTAGACCCGAAGCAGATACAAACAACGATAAACAGTTCGCGTACCGTTTACCGTGGATTCTTTTGTAGCGTTTTTGAAATTGACGTCACTAACGTCCCGTCAATTTTCAACTTTCATCCTCGCCTTTTCTCGTTAGTGATCTTGTATTTTCAGTTTTTGAATTGCTTGTGCCAGCTGAAAACAAGTGTCCTGATGGCAGGATAATTGTCCTTGGTTTATTTAATCATTTTGTGTGTATCTGAATGATTATAGTCAATCTGTTGGCAAAATTTAACGATGGCACACATTTTCTGTTTGTTAACAAATGTCATATTTCTACATCTAACGCTATGACCGCTGCTGTTCAAAACTTAATACTTAGGCCATTTCATGTCCGAATGACGTCAAATTTGGACATAATGTCACATTAATATATTTCAACGTATTTACGGAATACTGTGGAAAACAAATAGTTATTTATGAATAAATTAGAAGTAGAACTTAGCTCCAATAACTATATTTATGTGCTGCGCCGGGTGCGTGTTACTATGGTTATTCAATAGCAAAGGAAAAGCGCGTTTAGCACAATAGATTAAAAAACTTACGTTTGATTTGTAGAAAACATTTTACGATTGCTGTACATATGAAAATATTCTAAATTGAATGATATTTGAATACGCAAGACTCCCAGTCCTATTACTTTTTGAACAACCCTCGTATATTGTTTTTTTATTAATTTTTATCGGTATTTGAATATACTTATTTTGTTTTATAACAAAAGAGACTGCGACAGCCTATTTGATTGGTAATTTGAATACATTTGAAGAAATCGCAGTATAATTATATTCAAGAATTTGAACAATGAATACAAGGGAAAATCCAATCGCATACTATTGCGTGTGCATATGAGATTAAATGTAACATCTTCACGCCATCGGCGCCATTTTAGTGACAATTCATTGTACATTACATTTTTGCTTCAATGTGGATACGAAAAAGAACCATTCAAGTCAACGAAAACGAAAGCTTTAGAATGAAAATCATCGATATAATTATACTCAAACTAAAAGAAAATCATCCTACGTAATGATGATAAATGAGAAATATTTCAAAAATAAAATTATTTGACCTTCAAACATAGCAGACATGATTTAGAAGATGATATTCAAGATACTTTTACTACAGTCTAAATAAATATTACTTAACTTCTAACAAGGATTGAATAAAAAATGGTTTCAAAAGATAAAAAGCAAAGGTGATTTTAAATTAGAACATTGATCTAAATTGGAAAGCGATTATATTCAATCGTTTTTCATGATGCAATGATTCTAACATCAAAATTTTCAGTATTGCTAACTCTGCAAATATCGAAATAAACCCTACGATTATTGAAGAAATCATTTATTCTTGAATCGTTCAAATTCACGAGAGTTTCGAAACAAAGTTTTAAATAAATTAATGGCAAACTTTTAGAGATAAATTTGGGCAAACAAATAACTCTCATATGTGTGTATGATAATGAATAAGTCAATTTCATACTCTGTTCGCAAAATAGTATATAATTATACAAATCAAAATTCAAATCAACAGTATTAAAATTTGAAAAATTAAGACAAATTGTCATAGAGTTGTCATTATTTAGTAAGCGGCTTTATGAATTGTTATTAATATTCTGGAGCCTGTGTCACCAATATTGAAAATTATCAATAAAACCATTGCAATTCCAGATGTGTCGTTTTTATATAGGTCAATTTCATTAATTATAATCCATGCTACTCCATGATCTCAAATCCCGTTATTCACTATACATTTCATGTTAACTATTTATTAACAATGCAATCATACTTTTTGTCCAACAACATTGACCTGTGTCCCTGTAGTCGGTATATTCCGTAAACATTACGATGTATTTGTAAATCGATATGAATGTAAATATCCAATTGCCAAAATCCTGTACTCTTAGCTTAGTTGGTGTTGAAGGATGTAGACGTAAAGTGGTCGGTTCGAATCCTATTTAAGCGAGCTGTTTTTTATTCTAATTTTAAAATTTCTATTCTCTTAAATTTTTGTTATGTGTACTATTTATGTTGTATCTTTAATATCTGCCTTTATAATGTGTATACGATTGTATAATGTCACAAAGAGAACCACTGAAAGATACTTAAATGAAATGAAAATATAATTTTGTATAAAACACCACTTAAAATGTATCCTATAACCAGGTGTAGTAAAACAATTTCAATTAGTTCTTGCAAGTTAATTTTGGAAAACAAATCATAGCGTGGTGGTGGTAAGGAATCGAACCAGAGACCTTCAGATCGGTAGTCCTGCATCTATACCAATACACCACGCCTCATGAGTGAAATTAGAAAATGTATCAATATATTCGATATACTGGTCAGTGTTTATTCAAATGACCTTTTCGGAAGTTAATGAAGTGCCAGATCTATATTGTGGGACAATTCTGCAACCCATAACTAAATCGTCAATGATCAGGTGACAAATGTATGCATCGATGCAGTTGCTACATGACCATTGATGTGTTGAGTTGTATAATAAATATATATCTTGGATATACCTTGTTTCAATTTTCTTTCCACATTGAATGACATTAACGCATTAGAAAAACAAGAACTGCCGGAAGACAGTAACGCTCGACTATTCGAAAAGTTGTCACAGGGGTGTTTCATTGAGTATAATAATGCTTACCTATATGAATACATAAATTTGTCCGAAAAGGTACAAAGGCTTGTTATTCAGATGTTTTATCGAGTTAATCACTGCTTTATTATTATGAATGCATAAAATTGTTCCTAAAAAGGCACAAACCCTTCAGTTGTTATGGAGATACCAACTTACACGCACAAATTTTACGAAGAATTTCTAAGCACAAAAAGGGGCATGATTATACAAAAAAATCAGAGTTATGGGACTTGTGCCAATCATGTTAGATAATCACAGAGAACAAGTGTGTGAAGTTTCAATCCATTCCCTTCAGTAGTTATCGAGATACCAGCTTACACGCAAAAACTTAACCAAGAATTTCCAAAACGAAAAAGGGGCAAAATTATTCAAAAAAGCGAATTAGAGTTATGGGACTTGTGCCAATCATGTAAGATAATCACAGAGAACAAGTGTGTGACGTTTCAATCCATTCCCTTCAGTAGTTATGGAGATACCAGCTTACACGCAAAAACCTTACCACAGGGACGCCGACACCGACGCCGACGCCGACAAATGGGTGACTACATTAGCTTGATTATTCTGCGAATAGTCGAGCTAATATATGCCGGCTGGCTATGTTGACATTGGTGCCCAATGCGGGAGCGAAACTGTATATAGCTCAGAGTTTAATTCACATTGCTCTGTAATTCTGCGATATTTGAGGACGAATTTCAATATAGCAGGGGAGAACTGTTCACTATTTAGGGGAGAAAATGTGTAAGCGGTTTAAATGCATGGAAACCATTTGCTCTGATTTCATTTATGGTCATTCCCCGACCTTGGTGTTTTACTCTCTCATGGAAATGTCTAAGAATCAGATCAGATACATGTCCCTTCCTGGGTAAGATAATGGGATGTTTCTCGCTAAGAGAAAACTGCGAATTAGCTAGACGACCGCCAACTCTAATGATACATTCCCCATCCATATAAGGGTCTAACTTGAAAATCGGAGAACCTTTTTGCAAAACATTAAAATGCTTTAAATTTGAATTTTTGTTCTGAGACTTGACAACTGCTGACAATAATTCGTGCTTATCGCTGAAAGCATCTTTCTGCACTAACTTTATGATTTCTCTTTCGGCTGATTGAACCTTGTTCACCTGAACTGGATGATAATTTTTTAAACGCAGCTCAACATCAAACTTACATGACACATTGGAACACCTCTTGATAGAACGTTTGACAAGCATTTCCTTAAACCTAAGGCAGACCGCAATTGCCTTCTTCGCACGAGTCCAATCAGAAAAATATCCTATTCGTTCAAGAATACTGGAATGAGCACATATGGCTAAAGAAGTATGAACAATAGATTTCTTAACTTCTGGATCATCAGGAGACAAGTTTCTGATCTCGGTATCATCATTAACAGAAGGTATGGAAGGCTCCCACAAGAATTTTGGACCAGTGAACCAAGAGGATTCTAACAATTCTTGAGCATACGCACCTCTAGATGCAATGTCGGCTGGATTGTCAGCACTTTTAACGAATTTCCACTGATTTGGTTCTGTATGGTTCCGAATCTCCTGTACTCTATTTGCGACAAAGATGTGAAATCTACGGGAGTCGTTGGAAATATAACCCAAGACAACATTACTGTCGGTCCAATACCATGCTCAATATGATCCAAGTCTAATTCCAGCTGCAGCAAATTACCAAGTTTCTAGACGCGGAATTGTTGTTTGTTTTAAGGGATGAACTCTGGATTTTCCTAACAAAAGCGAACAATGAACATGATTTCTAGAGTCTATCAGTCTCAAGTATGAGCACTGGCCATAACCCTTAAAGCTTGCATCTGAGAAGTTATGCAATTCGGATCTCACGATAGAACCAAAGTCTGCAGGTTTTATACACCTTGGCACCTGCAAGGAATGCAACTGCAAGATGTCATGTCTCCATCTCTCCCACAGGGGCTTAAAATCATCAGATAAAGGACTATCCCAATCAGTGTTATTTCTACACATTTGCTGAAGAAGCTGTTTGCCTATCAAAATCACAGGAGCTAGAAAGCCAAGAGGTTCATAAACAGAACTCAATGTGGACAAAACACCACGACGGGAAAACGGATTGTCCTTTAGAGTGATACGGAACTGGAAGGTATCCGATTCCACACACCATTGTATACCAAGAGTACGCTCAACAGGCAAATCATCTCGCAGCAAATCGACATCTCTAAGGCAACTAGACCTATCATCAACAGGTATGTGATTAAGTACATCCTTTGAACTGGATTGAAACTTGTGCAAGTGTAAACCAGCTTTACTGCACATTTCTTTGCTCCGATTTATCAAACTAATAGCATCGTTCACGGAGGGCACGGACTTTAATCCGTCATCAACATAAAAGTCTCTCCTGATAAAACTTGCACAATCAGACCCAAACTCAGCTTCGTAATCAGAAGCAACCTGTTTAAGAGCAAAATTTGAACATCCAGGAGACGAAACCGCGCCAAAAAGGTGGACATTCATGTGATATGTTTCAACATCACCATTAAGATCTCCATCCTTCCACCACAAAAACCTCAAGAAATCCCGATGTTCTGGATTTACCCTGAATTGGTGGAACATTTGTTGGATGTCGCAAGTGAAGGCCACAACTTCCTTCCTAAATCTACAAAGAACTCCGATCAGATTACTTATTAAATCTGGACCCTGGAGTAAAAGACCATTAAGAGATTTATCCTTGAACTGAGCACTACAGTCAAAAACCACCCTGATCTTGTCAGGCTTCTGCGGATGGAACACACCATGGTGTGGAATATACCACACGTGGCCATCCTTACGGTCAATATCTTCCATTGGGACCCTCTCAGCATAACCCTTCTTGATCATGTCTTCAATAAATGCAGTATACTGGGTTTGGTATAAGTCATCCTTGGCAAGTCTTTTTCCCAATTGACCAAGACGATGAAAAGCTAAGGATCTATTATCGGGTAGAACAGGAACAAAATCTTTGAACGGTAACGGCATTTCATAATGACCATCTGTCATGTGAATACCTTCTTGCAACAAAGATATAAATTTTTGGTCTTCTCGAGACATAGAAATATCACAAGAACTGGAACATTCACTAAAATCTAGTTCCATCATTTTCGCAACCTCATGTGGGTTAACAAGTTCTTTAACGCTGTTTCGGAGAGACACTAGCATATGAGTAGGACCAGAAACCAAATTGTGGGGAACTTCACAGGAAACAATACGATGACTAACTCCAATTTCATCGTTACAACTGTGCACATTATCGGAACCCACTATACCTACGATACCCCAACCTAAATCTGTCCTCTGGGCATAAGGACCGTCGCCATCTGGGGCAATTATCTCTCTAGGAAGAAGAGCCCTAGAACAATCATATCCTATGAGGAGTCCTACTTCGCAGTTACTGACAGGCATTTACTTGTCTACAATAGGTGCCAAATGAGGCCACTTCTCCGCAATTTGAGGAGACGGAATGTGTGATCTATTGGCTGGCATAATGCTTCTGGTATACGCATTTGGGATATCCATACGTAAGTCGCTATCAAAGGGGCGCACAACCAAATTCTTAATTCTTTCACTGGAAACAATACGATTTTCAGAATGTAATGTGGAAAGAAGAAGTTTTACCTTTGTACCTGAAATACCAAGGTTTTGACAGGTGTGACTAAGAATAAATGTAGTGTCTGATTGAGTGTCTAAAAGCGCATACACTAGTCTTTCTTCTGTAGGATTGTCTTTCTGAGACACATATACTGGTACTATCATGGAGCATTTCAAACATGAACTGGTGCTCGTAGAGAAAGAAGTATTAGACAGGATTTTAACATCAGACGGTGGTTGATCTTTGGAACCATTTTTAGATATATCTGTAGGATTTTCCGATTTAGTAACATCACCATGCAAAGACGTTGGGTGAAATTTAGAGCATGTTTTACACTGTTTCCTCTGCCTACAAAATTTTGAAACATGGTTTGGCTTTAAACAAGCAAAGCATAACTTGTTGTCTTTAATATACGCCTTTCTGTCATTTAAAGATCTACTGACAAACTGCGAACACTGATCTAAATCATGTTTTCCCTTACAGATTTGACAACAGTTACTAGAAATACCTGAATTAGGAGGGACATATGGGGTTTTATGTTTAGTATCAGTGAAATTTAGAATAACCTCTCACAGGTGGTCGCCGACTGTTTTCATACCTTGGACGTCTATCAGACTTATCTGACTCAGAGCTAGTTTGATCTGATTTAAGTGACTGAAGAGATGTTATTGGATCACAAGCTATTTTGGCTTCACAGACAATAAAATTCACAAATTCGGAAAAGGGAGGGAATGAACCCTTCTGATCCTTCCATTTTACTACTAACCGGTTCCAACGTGTGACAATCCACTCTGGTAACTTAAGCAACAACTTTCTGTTTTCTCTATCATCATTGAGACACCCAAGACTACCAATAGAGCGCATTGCAGTGTCACACTGCCGCAAGAAATCTGAAAATCGCCTAAGACCATGACCATCCCTCGCAGCTATTTTGGGCCATTTTTCAAGCCTTTCACGAAAGGCATTTGCCAAAATATAAGGATCGCCATATCTTTCATCCAACAAACTTCTAGCCTCATCATAAGAATCATCAGAAGAGAGTAGGAAATAACTCTCAACTACCTCTCGAACCGGTCCACCAATGTATCTCTTCAAATAATGAATCTTTTCAGAAGGCGAGATATGACTGTTTTCAATTAAAGTATTGAAAGCAGTTTTCCATGCTGGGTATTTCAACGGATCTCCAAAAAATATTCCAGGTTCAGGAGGGGGTAGTCTATTAAGACATATTTGTTCAACCAATGACTTAGTTAACTGCTCGACACCTTTATCAAAATAACCTTCTGTAACTTGATTATTTAATACATCTTGACCTGCTTGTGTGTTTATGGCAGATTGTGAATCATGAGATACTGATGCCTTAGAAAGTGAACTTTTAGGCATAAACGGGTCTACTGCAGGATTCAGAGCTGCAACAGGTGTTGAATCAAATGGCAGAGAAGAAGTTGTAAATTGTGGCATATGTGTATTTGACTGGCCCTGAGTGTATTGTGAATGCGATGACTTAATAATTTTATAGTCATTTTGAATGCTATGAGATTGTGTATCAACATATTTTTGAACGAAATCAGATTTATCTTCAATATCAACTGGCAACTGCAATTGTTTAGTCACAGTATCAGACTGATTATCTCCAACCAACTCCTGATCTAGAGCCATTAATCTTGCTTTAGCCATTTCTAATTTCTTAATTGTTGTGATTTTTTCAAACTGAGCGCGAGAATGAGCTTCTGCTTCTATGTATCTGAGTCTAGCACTTAAAACAGCGGCTTCGGTTGCCGGATTAGAAGTCTTAATATTCACTGAATTATAAGAACGTCGCGATCTATAAGACCTATTACTTTGTTGCGAACGTATTGACTGTAAGTCAAAATCTGTGACTTGAAGTTCCGAAATTTTTTCAGATATCCTACACATAATCAGCTGATGCTCAATTTCAATTTTATCGAATGTTTCAGAACTACGAACTTCAGTATTATCATCTGCGCTTAAATTGTTTAACTGATCGTAAGCCGTACACAGTTCAGCAAAAGAATTTTCGAGATTTGTTCTCTCGTCGCGCAGCGCTTTTACTTCTGAACTGTCCGACATAATTATAGATACTTGGACAGATTGCCTTCGCCATTTTGACACGCAAGACCTGAAATTTTTGTTATATATATCCCTTTGATATTGTAAACCTTTCTCGGTTAAGATCGGATTCCTAGAACTAAGATGTAAATCTGGCGACGCGCTCTGAATTTCAGTATTGTCAGAGTTTACAACCGTTTTATCAAGTGACTGCCCTTCTGCCATCTTAAATGAAGTTTGTATGCACCTACTATGCTAATATATGTGGTTAGTTTTTTCAAAATTGAATGATCTGAGTTAATATACAAAAAAAAATTAAATTACCTTAGAATAAAGGTGTAGCTGGGCATTCCCTGCTTACACTACAACAAATGAAATCTCAATGAAATTCATGCAAATATAAGTAGAAAGTTTTTTATGTTCAAACTCTGTGGCTGGGCAATCCCTGCCTACAGAAACAACAACTGATTTTCAGTTTACAAGCAATCTCGCAATATTGTTCTACAAATTGATTTTAACCACGATTTGGCTAAAACTGAAGATGGATGAATTCCGTCCACTAAAAGATTGAAGTTCCAGGAATATCTTGCCTTGGAATTTTTTCTTTTACGACTTCTGCACAGATCCTGATTTAATCTTGGAGAGCTTGTTCCGGTTTGACAATTTAAATCATCTATGAAGTTATTAATTTCAGTTATATAATCTGTGAGTCTTCGGTCGTCTTCTTTGAATGTTTCAGAATTTGAATGACCTTTTAACTTGTTCCACTTTTCAATTGAGTAATATGGCACATGAATGAAACAGATCTTTACATCGGAGTACTTGTCAGCAAGGTCCTTGTACTTTTGCAGATCATTTTTCAAGTTAGCAACTGGATTTGGTTTTAAGTTAATATATTTATTAACCTTTCTAGTGAGGTCACATGTGCCCAACCATATAAATAAGGCAATTCTTCTATGCTTCTTTAAAAGATCTTCAATGTTGTGTTCTAACCAAATATATCTTTCGTGGCAATTTGCTCCACTTTTAAAACACCATATTATATTGTTTTCATGAGAAACACTTTTGTTGACAGCTAACTTTATATATCTACCCTTACTGTCACTTACTGTCCTAGGATGATAATTTGGTCTTTACGGTACATGGGAAAGTCCAAAAACGGGGTTATCTGGATTATTAGCCGATATCGTAAAAGTAAACACTTACAAATACTATATAGCATTATTCTTACAGTATCGTTTGCGTAGTACCGTTATGGCTCTGTCGGTAGATCGAAATTATTTGTAACTTTTAGAGTTTTGTTCTCATAGGTTCGAACCCCAAGTAGTGCCATTTTATAACCACAGGTTTTTCTTCTTGCTCTGTTTTTTTTATCATTATAATTATTCATTTATTTTCGTTTTCCTTTTTGTTTTCTTCTTATGATATATATTTATAGTATATATTTATTTTTTATTTCTTTTCTTTTTTCTTTCTGTATTTTTTGATCACAATGAAATAAAATATTCGATCTCATATTCATGTATGCATAAAACCGGTCAAACAATTGACTGTTCTGAGGTAAAAAAAAAATGTACCAGTAGTCGAACTTCTGTCTGTACGGATAAACTCATTACTGACACGGTTGCTCTACCTACTGCGCTAACAAGACATATGATAACATGTAGTTTTATTTTCATTTTTATAGATTGTGGCATTGATCTGCCTAACCTATTTTTCGCATTGTTATTGGTCTTTGTTATGTAAACAAAGGCTCAAGTTATCATCCTAGGACAGTATAATGACTGGTTTCCAAGCCAGGTCTGTCTGTGAATTATCAGATGAAGTGGTAGCTTTACAAATATTTTTCTGAAGCCTACTTAAACTCATCTATAACAATCTTAGCTGGGGAGATGTTCCACAGATCTTGTACAGGATTTCACGGTGTGAAGAGTTTTCACTATGGCGACCAGTCGCCTTTCAGGGTATCGAGCTGATGGCGCGCAATCTGGCCGATTGACAAAGACATACACTGAGAGCTTAATACAGTTTATTTCCGCAATTTCGATTGTATTGTTCGCAATGCTCACGTGAAAACTGAAAAGACAAAACACAATCGAATTCTGAGACTTAAAATATCAAACATTTGGTTCGAAATGCAACAATACAATACTCCATAGAAAAATATAGTCAAAATATTATAAAATAGACAACAATTCTGCATAACAAACCTCTTTGCCACTATTTAGAACTTAAAAACTCTTCGAAGATCGTTTTCCCCCAAAACGTTTAACAATCGTTACAAATGCCGCAGAAAAGTCAAAGGGAGATAATCACGTCGGAATTAAATATGTTTCGCACTAAGCCGATTCGTACCACAACCAACGCGACGGCATCAACAACAAGTATAAAGGTAGGTAGACTATGAATTCAGGTTCTTGAAATCATGAGTTCTTATCATTTGCTGAATGTGAACGGGCAAAAATAAATGGGATCACCCTTGTTTCTTTTTTGGAACGGAAAAAAAACATTTATCAACAGTTATGAAAACATTCAAATATTACGAATTTCTTTTGTTCCATATACCTTTGTCATGCAAACCAGCCTTAAATAAACTGGTCGAAATCGCATAAAGTATTTTGTTCAACATTTATGTACCTTTATGAAGCGTGTAAATGTTCATAAGAATACGACGGAAAACGCCTGATACCATCGTTGTATTTTTTGAAATCACTTCCACATGACGTTCATTTCACGTAACGTTGTTTTTATTAGTTTGTTTTGTTAGTCCCTTTTATCCTGCAAAGCCTTTTTACGATTTATGTGACCAAAGGGTTTTGTACCGATTTGCCAATAAACTTTAAAACTGTTGATAATACACATCCGAGATGAATGTCACGTGCTATTGAGTTTAACTCGCAACATGGGACATTTTTGTAACATAATAATGGAGAATATTGAGCAGATATTCATGTTAGCTTAACATTTGTTTTACAAGCAACAAAAGACGTTTAATTAAGCACTGTCTTCTGATAATTTAACTTTGCTACTCTCAAGTACAAAATATTAAGTAGATGGTCAAATTATGGGTTTGTATATGGCTCTGTAATGATATGTTGTTTTCTTGAAACATTGCGGTTTTGAAACATTGTTGATGGAATATGCTATATTCATATGCATTATAAAGAAGTTACTGTATTTAGAAATGGCTGTACTGTAGAAACCTAAGGAGACAGGAATTTCAACGAAAGAATTATCAAAGTAATTTTTACAAAGTTCTATAATTAGATCCATTTAGCGTATAAAAGTCGTACAGGTCATAGATGGTGCAGAAAGTGATTGTCGGCCCTCGAGTCAATTTTTCATTTTGCGGGCCGATAAACACCTTCTAGCTTAGCTATGTCAAATCTTATACGGAGTAGCTATATTAAAATCGTTTTTTATTTTACCTTTTTAGTAAAAAATGGAAAAGCTATTTCAGCTGAATAAGAATATTAACTTTTGATAAAAGAGCAGCAGATATAGAATTTATTAACAAGATTCGCATTTGTTTGGTTAAAAATGTCTTATATATTAAAATTATCATGAAACCCCACAAGTTTGAATAGAGTGTGTAAACCCAACACATAATTCGAAAGATAGAAATATACAGTACGCATCATCAAAAAGGATCATTTGTTTTCATAATACCATCCTGGTCTGTAAATATTATGCATATCTTTTCCCCGTACTGTAACTATCACGTATCAGAGAAGTATTGTAAAGTTTTGACATTTTTAATTATATGCTATTTTTGAATGGAGATTACCGTTTACTGAAATGATTTTAGTGTAAAATCTATATTACGTTATTTGTATATATTTCGACAATATATTATAGTTTACAGTACTTAAGAATATACATTTGGTATACGTATTTGCAATAAACTTTTGATGTCATGATGTAACGTCTCAGAGATTATGATTATTCTAATCAGCCAATGAAAATAAAGTCCTGTTTGCGGTATCTCACAGCGGGGAAAATATAAGGCGTTTAAAGGGAAAAAAATTTTTCAGTCTGAAAGGCAGGAATTAAACCGTGACCAGTTTTTCCTATTAACTAAAACCTTCCTTCAAAACATGGGATTTTCTTTTGGTTTGAAAAAAATTACCTAAATTGGGAAGCCTAGTTTCATAATGGGAAAAAAATTGAACAAACACTAAATAACCTCTTTATTCAAATAAGAAGCCATTGTCATGCGAAATGTTGACTTAAATACATTTGCAAAGTTTGTGAAATCTTGCGAATTTTGACTCTGCGTACTTAAAGATTTCCAAATTTTCCGAAAGCCTAGATATCAGAGAAATGGTAACATATAGGTATTAAAAATCCAGTGGTAGAGTTAAAACGAATAAGCTTGTGTAGATAAAAATAGTTGTAAACATTTGTTATAAATCCTTACCAGCAGCCCCGCTTTATAGAAGGAGAGGTAGTTGCTGGGTTATTACCGGGTTGCAGCGTGATATCTATATTTGATTTATATAGTGAGTTTATGACATTGAAAATATATTGAATACTTTAGAGTTAATATAAGGAAACATTTAGTAATAATTCAAGTTAATTGTTTATGATTCATGATAATTTCCAATCAAATTTTGTATCTTAATCACCGGCAGTAGTAAAAGAAAAAAAAATTAAAATTATTTTTAATTAAACATTCGCTGGGGGTAACACTTACAGTATAACCCAACATAAAAATTTAAATTGGGGTTTGATTTTTTAACTTAATTTTTTCGTTTTGTTTTTGAATCCCTTTGGGTTAAAAAAAAGGTGTAAATTTAAGCAAATTTTTTTTCAGGAAAATTTTAAAAAACTTAGGGTTTTTATGGAAATTTAAAAAATTAAAAGGGAAATAAACATTTCATAAGTTTAACGTTTTTTTTTAAACTTTAAAAACATCGGAATGGGGTTTTAAATCTCCACTTTAATAAATTGTTCATTTTCAATAATTTTTAACATCAATTCCTAATTTAATTATGTATTTTAATTTTGAAACTAAATTCACACTGTTTGCTTGTTGCCCAATCTTGTTTTTTCCCCAATAAACTTTGATAAACTTGGTTAATATTTCCTGAAAAGCTTAACAACAATGAAAAAATACCAAGCCCAGCTAGGACCAAAAAAATCTTTAAGATTTTGAGTAAAATGTAATCATTTTAAAATTCTTGTACAAAAGTAACACAATTATGATAATATAACTTCTAATACAAATAAGTACCATTGCACAGCATCATCTACAAACATGATCGAGGATCATCGACAAAAGTTTCGAAATCTCACAATCAATGAGAAATAGATGAATTTGAGAAGGAAAAACTCTTTTTCTAGAGTGAAGCTTTTCATTCCAGGCGCACGAGGCAATAATTTTAGTTTTCCTAGCTCCATCACGGAACTTGCCAATCGCATCTTTTGCTGTCTTCATTTTTCTTGTCTTGGGCAATAAACGGTGAAGGAGCATCTATACACGTTCCATTTTTCATCGCTGTTAAACAAAGGCGGTCCAATATTTCTACTAACACTGCAGTTGAGAAAATTAAATTAAGCAATTTCATTTGAAAAATCTTCAATAATACGACGAAAACATAATAATCATTTTCATGTTAATTATGTTTATTGGGGTAAACTGTTTATATATTATAATATCATGGTGGGATAAAACCATTTTAATGCAACAAAGCGAATCCAATATTGGTACTGAAACAACATACAAAGTCTGCAGGAGAAAATGTATCTGGCTTTAACTGTACAATCTCTATTTCTAAAAACGTTTATTATGTCGTGACAAAAAAATTTTTCAGAACATAGATCCTTTATAAGATCGGGTACGTTTTAAGACAAATAAACACTGATGTTACATTTTTATTTCCCTTTTCTATATTGTGATATATCTTTGATAAACCCAGGGGGTTATTCCAGGGTTTTTAAAAAATCTCCATATTTAAAAAATTTTTTTTCGTTTTAAACCCAAATAAAAAAGGGCCCCGTGGTCATTTTTTTAAAAATGCCCGCTAAAAACCTGACAAAATATTTTTACTTCAAAACCCTTTTTTGGAATGATAATTCTGCAATAACCTTTTTAAAAAAATGAATTTTTTTAAAAATAATTTTTCCCATATCAAAATAACCAATTTTTTTAAATTATTTACTGGGGGGAAATTTCCCAATTTTTTATTTTGGGGCAGAAAATCGGGGCCGGGACTTAAAAAACATTTTATAAAATTTTTGTCCATGAAAAAAGTCGCGGGAAAAGGGGTTTCTTTTTTAACTTGTTCAAAGGTTTTTAAATTCCTTTTTGGGGTTTTTGTCAAATTTTAAAAAATTTTCCTTTTTTGTAAAAATTTTTTTTTAAAATGAAACAGCCGGGGTCTTTTTGTATGCTTCGTCAAATTCCTTTTTTCTTTTTCCTTTTTTTTGAGGCAATTTTTTAAAAAATATTCGCCCTTAAACAATTTTTTTTCCGTCTTTTTCAAAGATCAAGTGAAAGTCAGGGTTTAAAAACTGGGCCCAATTCAAAAAAAGTTTTTAAACCCCTTTGTCGGGGGGGAAACTTTAAAATTTTCAACAGTTTTGTGATAAATTAAAAACAAAGAAAAAGGGAAAAAAGGGTGAAATCATTTCATTTCAAAGCGCCCCAAAAAAAATTTTTAAAATTTAAACTTTTTTTTTAAATTTTTAATAAGTTTAAAAATTTTTAAGTAAATGTAAATTTTTAAAAAAAACAAAAAGCAGTAAGTGGTAATTGGTTTAAAAGACATCAGAAAAGCCCTTTTACCGGGCGATGAGGGGAAAAAAATTAAAGTCAACGGGATACTCATTTTTAGGGCCAAAAAGGAAACCAAAAAAAATAAAGAGTAGTTAAGCCTTAGGTTCAATTTCATATCTACCGATTTTTACCAACTTATTGCAGATATTAACCGGACAAGTTGTTCAAATTTGTAGCTTTGGCATATACCGATACTGGTCGATTACTGTGTTATTATTCATGGATGCAAGTTATCTATATTGCTTGAAGCACCTTTGGCCGGCGATGGCGGGTAAAAAAAATAACATTACTAAAATTAAGTAATTGATTAGAAATTGTTTCAGCAAATATACTCAAAAGTTATATCCCGAAATAAACAAAACTTTTCAAAAGTAAAGCTATCACTAAAGCCGTAAAGGCCATTATACTGAATAAAAGGTACTATAAGAATATTTGGAATGCCCGCCTATAATAGTCGCTTCTTTTCAAATTAAGTTTTCACTGGAGCAAGATTAATATCCCTTTGATATTACAAACTTTGTTACAGAAATATTTGGCAACTAACCAACGAAAACAAAAGGCCCACATTATGAGATTGCAAAATGATTATTTACTTTT